GGTTCTTAATAAGTATAGGAATTATATCTAGTAACTAAAAAAAGTACCATGAGCTAAATGGAAAAATGGCAAAGGAATGAATACTGAATTCATAGAAAAAATGCTCATCTTACCTAATAATAAGAGAAACAGATGTTAAAATTACATGGAGAGCCCATATTTCACCTTTCAGGTTGGTAAAAATTCAAGCATTTCATAGCTTGTTGTTTCGACAAGGGCTTGTTGAAATAGGTACTCTTCTGTGTTGCTGAATCTTTAAACTAGTACAGCCCATAGAGAGGGTGATATGTCAGTATCTCAACTGAATGTGTACTTTGACCCAGCAATTTTACTTCAGGGAATTTATTCTACAGATATGCCCCCACACATATGAAGTAACTTAATAGGGGGCATTCCAATTGCGTCAGTGTTTGTAGTGGCAAAAAGTTCAAAGCAAGTTAAACGTCAGCCATTAAGGGATTGGCCTAATAAATTAATGGTATATCATACACTGGCTGTATAGCTGATTAAAAAAATTTTTAAGAGTAAGGATGGACTTTGTGTCCTGATGTATTTTAAAAATTTCGAAGATACGTGGTTAGGCAAAGAACGCAAAGTGCAGGACAATGCACTTATCACAGTAAGGGGGAATGAGTATTTCTGTTTGCTTATGTATACATGAGGAAACTGATAGAATTTGCAGAGAACAATGACAGTGGTAACCTGGAAGATTAGAAAACTAAGTAGGTAGTTGAAGTAAGAGATTTTTTCTGTATAGTTTTTTTTATGCTCAGGTTTTAGAATCATGTGAATGTTTTCCCTGTTTAAATAAATAAGTTGTGCCCTGGCCAGTGTGGCTCAGTTGGTTAGAGCATCGTCCTGTGGACCAAAAGGCGTTAAATTCCTAGTCAGGGTACAAGCCTAGGTTGCAGGTTCGGTCCTCATATGCCCAAGGCCACTAATCGATGTGTCTCTCTCACATCAGTATTTCTCTGTTTTTCTCTCTCTCTCTCTTCCCCCTACCTCTCTAAAGTCAGTGGGCATGTCCTTGAGTGAGGATAAATAAGTAAATAAATAAATCATACTTTTAAAAAAGACATTAAAATATAGTCAGTTTTAAAAATAGTATCCAAAGTACTATAAAGAGGAAAGGGGTGGGGGGGGGTATGTGTGTGTGTCTGTGTCTGTGTGTCTGTGTCTGTGTTAAACAGTACTCTAGTTTCCCACGTTAGCTTCAGGGTGGGACAGGGTGCGGTTGGCTAATGTTCATTACAAACCAGAACATCCAGTTGAGTGATGTGATTGAGCATGTTGTGATTGCCTCTTTCATGCTAGACTTACTCATTTAAATCTTTCATGTAGCCTAGTGGGGCAGCCGTATGCCATAGAAAGAATACAAATTTTGAAGGAAGAAACTTAAGTTTGACCCCTGCTTCTTCTGCTCTTTTCTGGTGTGAGGTTTTGGACAAATTGCTTTGGTGTTCACCTACCAAAACCTCTCAACATGTGAAAATAATGATTGAGTTATGACAGTGCTTTGTAAGTTATCAAATACCATATAAAGAAAGTTATTCTTACTTGTATTTTAGTTGATTTTGTGCATTAATTGACCCATCAGGTTGGTCATAATTGTATTGCTGAACATTAGTCACAAACATAACATCCTCAGCATATGGCTTAGAAAATAGAAGTGTGAATTCCCTCAACTCGCCTCCCCCGCTGCTATCTGTCACACCATGTCTCTGCTCTTCAGACCCCACCTTCCTCTCAATCATTTCTTTCCTGCTGAACTTTGGCCACTCTAGTGACTTGGGCTCAGCAAAAATTATGTTTCCTGGTAAGTGGTGCATATATTTCTACCTTACGTCCTTTGGATTTGTATCCTTTCCATTCCTCATAGGGTTCGAGTGTCCCTCTCAAGGTAAATATTTTGTCCATGAATTTGAAGAGTTACTTCCTGACCTCCAGGCTGAGTTGGAGGGCACCAGTGCCTTGTAAAGCCAACTCTTCCTTTATTCCCCTCCATTTGTCCCCTGCCCTGTTTCATTAGTTATCATCTCCCTGTCTTGTATTGGCAATCTCTTCCTCAAAATCCTGACTCTCTACTTTGACCTGACAAGTATGCTCAAATCTCTCATCCCTAAAATAATTATTTCAAATTTAAATGTTTTTTGTTGTCGTATTTTTTCCATCAAAGAATGATTGCCTTTAATTTCTCAATTCTTATTCATTCCTCAGTCTATTACAATTTATGATCTGACTTCCCTCTTCACTGTTACTTGTATGAAGAGGTTGGTGAACTTCCTTCTGCCAAGTGCAGTGGCTTTTCGACTCTGTTCCGCCGAACAGTTGATGACATCTTTTTGAAATGTGCTTATTCTTTGGCTTGATATACATTGATTTCTGGGTTTTCTTTCCTCTCCCCTTAATCTCTTCTGTTGGATTTTCTCCTATCACCTGCTGCTTATGCTTCGAGGTTATTAACACTTCTTCCTTGTCTGTCATGTATCATCTCAGTAGTTTTCCTTCTACAGTTGGTGTTTTGCATTAATGACCAACAAGTTCATACCATTCTTATTTTCCATCTGTACTCTCTGTCTGAGGTTATATCCACTTCCATCGCTATAGAGACTAATGACTTCCCCCGACTCTCTTCTGAGTTTGAAATTCTTATTAACTGCCTTAGGACTTTCTTGCCTGGTTGAAGGTATTTCGCATTCTCCTATCTCTCCAACTAAAACATCTCTCCTCTCCTTCAGCCAGCTCATTTCGTTGTGTTCCTAATCTCAATCAATGTCATTGCCACCTTCCTAGTTGCTCATGCTAGAAACCTACAGAGTCATCCTTGCCTCCTTCCTGACTATTCACAGAGCCCTGTCACTTCTGCTTCTGAAATATGTCTTACATATCTCCTGTTTTCCATCCCCACTCCGTCAAGTTTCTCACAAATGAAATATTCGATGTGCCACTTCCTCAGACTTGACTTTTTTTTATGACTTTCTATTGCCCGCAGAACAAAGTCTAAAGTCCTTTCTGCAGGCAATAGAAAGGTTCTTTACAGGTTCTTTACAACATGTTTCTAACCTTCTTTCCTTCCATCGGCGCTGAAAGTCCCTGTCCTCCGGTCACCTCAGGGTTAGTGAGTCACTGCTTTGCTCTGCATCACTTGCATTTGTCTGCCTCAGCTCCTGTTGTCTCTGCCTGGGGCCCATTTACCTCACAGTCACTCTTGAAGGTTCTGCTCAAAAATCATATCTTTTATGTTGCTTGTCTTGACCACATAGAATTACAGTCCTGTAGCACTTTATTCATGTCTCTAATATAATTATTCTATATTAAAACTAACTTATGAACTTCTCTTCTTAAGATTTTATTTATTTATTTTTAGAGAAAGGGGAAGATAGGGAGAAAGAGGGAGACAAATATCGATGTGTGAGAGAAACATCAACCAGTTGCCTCACACACACACCCCAGCCAAGGTCTGGCCTGCAACCCAGGCATGTGTCCTTACCGGGAATCAAACCGGCAGCCTTTTGCTTTGCTGGACAGCACTCAACCAGCTGAGCCACACTGGTCAGGATTAATTTACGAACTTTTTAAGAATGCATCTAGGTCGTATTTAATTTCTGTATCGCCATAGAAGAGTGCCTGGAATATAGAATTTTCATAAATAACCTGCGGGGTGAATATGTTGAAAGTAAAGTAAAAGAGGACTCAGCTCACACAGTCTGCAGAGCTCTCATGTTGCCTTGTGAACAGAAAATTGAGGTGGTTAAGAACTTGATTTCTGTGGTCAGGCACATCTGGGTTCAAACCCACTCTGTAACACTGGCTGTTGCTGTTTCCTTACCTGTAAAGTGATGATGATGGGGTGGCTGTGAGAATTAAATGTAAAGCACATATCAACCCTTGGTACCTTGTAATAACTTTAAGTTATTATGAAGTGTAATGTATTTTTAATGAATAATAGTAATACTCTATAGTAATACTGAGTTATATCTATAGCCAAAAATGAGGTACAAGAATGGCATGTTCTCACATGATCTTCCTAAGAGAACCCTCTCTTAACCAAGCTGATTACATCTGCTCAGCAACAGTGACTGTCAACCTATTCTGTTACCAGTGAAGAGGCAGAGGAGTACCTGTTACCTTTTCTGTTATCTGTCATTTTTATTGGTATTGTTAGTGCTCTTAGGATTCGTTTTATCCTTTACAAACACTGAGTTTTAGATAGGAATAGTGATACCAAGAAGGAAATTGAACTTTAAGAATAGGAAAGAAGAAACTCAGGGTGAGGATAAAGGTAATAAAGTGGTGTTTGGATTAAGGGTCTAAGTTTGGATTAAGAATCTAAGAAAGCTTCTTCTTTCATTCCATCATTCATCAAGTATTATTGTCCCCTGACTGTGTACAGGGCACAGTGGGAATGGGGCAGGGATATCATAATTGTTTAAGGCTTAATTCTCACTGTAAAGATTTTTTAAAATTGAATACTTGCAATAATTGTAGATTTACATACAATTGTAAGAGATAATTACAAAGAGATCCCTTGTACATCACTGCAGGATTTTAAATCTTATTAATAATGAAGGTGAGATAGTTCCTTGTGTACCTGGTATAAAACCACAGGTAGAAGGCACCTCACAAACTTGGAAAAGCTGAGATTACTCTGCTTGAAGCTGCAGCAAATCAAGTTTACATTCAGGTGTCCGTTTTAAGCCAAACCTCAAAGGATGAGCAGAGTTGTATTAGGTTGGAGATGGAAGGAGCGAGTAGGGAAGGCCAAGACCTAGGGGAAAGGGAGGATCTGGGTTCCAAAAGTGAATCTGGTGAATAATCTAGACTTCTTGACTGCACACATATTGTAAATTGGTTCTTTCTTACCTCAAGTTTTAGAACTGAAGTAATAATGAGCCTATTGTTAATCTCAGGTCGATTGTTACATTTTATGTTTTTGATACAGAATTCCTTGATTCTACTAAGAGCCTGACTTACTGAAAAAGTTTTTCTTGTGCTTTTAGAATGATGGTAAAGAACGGCATGAGCACGGCAGTGAAAGGCGGAGGCGGGGCAACCCTGAGCCATTATCTAATGGAGGACCCCAGGGTAACGCACTGCAGGTGGTGGAACAAGATGAAGAAGAAGATGAGGAGCTGACACTGAAATATGGCGCCAAACATGTGATCATGCTCTTTGTCCCCGTGACTCTCTGTATGGTGGTAGTGGTGGCTACCATCAAATCAGTCAGCTTTTATACCCGGAATGATGGGCAGTTGTATGTATGAGTGTTTTGTTTTATTATTCTCAAGGCCAGTGTAGCTTTCCTTTATAGCATGTCATCATTACCTTGAAGGCCTCTGCACTGAAGGGGCATGAAGGCTAGGGAGTTCTTTTAGCCAGAGCAGTTGAGAGAGCGAGGGATTATTTATTACTTGATGCTTTGAGTAGAGAAAATGAAAGCTATAGAATTGTATTTCCTGTGTGGTGTCACTAAGATAGGGCTGAATTTATTTGTAACTGAGCAGGTAAAGCATTGAATAGTAACCTTTCCCATCTCAGAGCCATTTGGCCCATTGTTCTTTGCCTGGAATGTTCTTTTCTTTTCTAATTTAGGTGGACTAATTCCTATCATCCTTCTCATCTTGACTTAAATGTTAAGGCCAAAGATAACTTCTCTGATCCTCCTAACAAAACTAGGTACTTTCTGGTATTCTTTCTCATGGAAACTTGTTCTTTTTCACTTGTAACAATATGCAAATGTATTTTAATTTACCTTATTTATTTAATACCTGGTTTCTCTCTGTGCTGCATGTCTTATCAGAGCACTTTGTTTCCAGGACGAGGTATGTAATAAATGCTCAGTAAAAAGAGTTGTTAAATGAAAGGATGAAGAATTGATACAAGCCGGCACTCTCTAGGCTCTTGGGGGACTGTCGTGTAGATTCTCTGGTGCTGCTGTTGTCAGCCCTTGCCTCTAAGAAAGGTGCCTTGATTCATGTGTCACCTAGTTCTGTCTCTGGGACTCTAGTGAGGCTCAAACAAGTTTTAAGTGGATTTTAGAATTTGAAAGTGGCAAGTGGCTGAGAAACTGCATGGGGTTCTGAAAGCCAAGCTGTTAATCTTTGGAAGAAAGACTTAGACAATGAGTGCCAGACCGATAATAGAGGTAATAGCCAAAAGAGTTTGAGGAATACTCTCTGTATAAGTTAGAGTTAGTTTGGCTACATATTACAGAACAGGGGTTAGCAAGCCATAGCCCACAGGTCAGATCTACCTGTCACCTATTTTTGTAAATAAAGCTTTATTGTAATACAGCCATGTCCATTCTTTTGTATATTGTCTCTGCTGCTTTTATATGATAATGGCAGAGTTGACTGTTTTCAACAGAGAGCATATCACCCACAAAACTTAAAATATTTACTCTCTAGGTCTTTGCAGAAAGTTCACTGACTGAATCTCTAAAATCAAAACAACTGGTTTAAATAATGTGCATGTTTTATCTCTCGCCCACAGAGAAGCGCAGAGGTAGTCAGTCCAGATTGGTAGAGCGGCTTCACATTCATCAAGGACTCAGGCTCCTTCTTTCTACCTTAGCTTCTATACTCCAGGTTATCATGGTTGCTGGAGCCCCAGCCTTCACTGAGACAGCAGGAAGCAGGATGGAGTAGGGGCCAAAAGCAGAATTAACTCCTTCCTTAGGAGTGTTACACAATGCATTTGCTTTAAGGAGAGAGAGAATGAAAGCTATAGAATTGTATTTCCTGTGTGGTGTCACTAAGATAGGGCTGAATTTATTTGTAACTGAGCAGGTAAAGCATTGAATAGTAACCTTTCCCATCTCTGGGCCATTTGGCCCATTGTTCTTTGCCTGGAATGTTCTTTTCTTTTCTAATTTAGGTGGACTAATTCCTATCATCCTTCTCATCTTGACTTAAATGTTAAGGCCAAAGATAACTTCTCTGATCCTCCTAACAAAATTAGGTACTTTCTGGTATTCTTTCTCATAGAAACTTGTTCTTTTTCACTTGTAACAATATGCAAATGTATTTTAACTTACCTTATTTATTTAATACCTGGTTTCTCTCTGTGCTGCATGTCTTATCAGAGCACTTTGTTTCCAGGACGAGGTATGTAATAAATGCTCAGTAAAAAGAGTTGTTAAATGAAAGGATGAAGAATTGATACAAGCCGGCACTCTCTAGGCTCTTGGGGGACTGTCGTGTAGATTCTCTGGTGCTGCTGTTGTCAGCCCTTGCCTCTAAGAAAGGTGCCTTGATTCATGTGTCACCTAGTTCTGTCTCTGGGACTCTAGTGAGGCTCAAACAAGTTTTAAGTGGATTTTAGAATTTGAAAGTGGCAAGTGGCTGAGAAACTGCATGGGGTTCTGAATGCCAGATAACACATCTCTCTCAGCAGAATTAACTTCCTTCCTTAGAAGTTTTACAGAGTACATTTGTTTATACGTAACTCATTGGCCATTACTTAGTCTAATGGACACCCCTGACTGTAAGGGAGTCAGAAATTAAGTCTTTTAGCTGGGAACATTGGCACCAAGAATGAAAGTGTTTTTATGTGAATGAGAAATAAGGGGAGGGTAGATATGTGACATTATCTCAAGATACCAGTTGCAGTCACCCTAAAAATGAAAGATAATTATAAGCCATATTACGATCCTCTGACAATCGCAGCCTAGATAGTTTACCTGGCAGAGTCTGGTTCTTTTGGAAATCACTAATAATCAGTGGAGAAAGAATATTTAATGAGATAATTGTTTCAGTATGTAGTATCCACTAGATGGAGCCGTTGCCTGGCTCACAACTCTCCATATTTTAGATACCTACTTTAATTTTGAAGCACTTATTTTAGACACTAGCTATTTTTCTTAAGTTAAAAATTCTTGGCTAGATTGATAAGATGGACAGAAATGACATAAGATATCAGTTGAATCAAAGAAACAAAACTTGTATTGGAGAGAGTATGATTTGGGATATCCAGCTATTAACACTTACCTGGGGCTTTTGTACTTTGTTTTATTGCAGGATTTATACTCCATTCACAGAAGACACCGAAACTGTGGGCCAGAGAGCCTTGCACTCGATTCTGAATGCTGCTATCATGATCAGCGTCATTGTTGTCATGACTATTCTCCTGGTGGCTCTGTATAAATATAGGTGCTATAAGGTAAGCAAGCATGAAAGAAGCTTTGCTTTCTACCGTGTTATTTTTAAGATTTTATTTATTTATTTTTAGAGAGAGGGGAAGGGAGGGAGAAAGAGAGGAAGAGGAAGAGAAACATCGATGTGCCTCTTGCACACCCCCAACTGGAGACCTGGCCTGCAACCAGGCACGTGCCCTGACCCGGAATCGAACCAGCAGCCTTTCAGTTTGCGGGACAATGCTCAACCCACTGAGCCACACAAGCCAGGGTTCCACCATGTTCTTTTTATGATTGGGTTTTTCTATCATATCCCTTACTTGATATAGTAAAAGAAAAAGGTCTTATATTCTAGAACTAAGTTAATTTTTAGTTTTCTCCCTCTCATTGTATAATATCTGAAAAATACAAAAAGGCATAAATGGAAAACAAATGTTTTCAAACTGTATCACAATCTAAATGGTTTTAACATTTTGATTTGTGGTATATGTATGACATTCCAAAGAGATAATATCCTAAGATCTTTGGGATTCCATCATTCACAGATAGTGTTACAGGATATAGCTGTCTCTATAAAATATAAATTTAAAAATTTATATCTTCATACTTGAGCACAAAACAATAAAGCCACCTTCAGATGCGGATTTAAATTCATTGGTGATTGGCTACATTTCCACTTCTAAATTGGTGACCATCCATTTCCTCACCACATCTACAGTAACACTAATTCTTTCCTAGGGAAATACGGCAGGGGAGGTTGTGCAGGAAAGACACAGGCCAACTTTCCCAGCCCCTACCCCGCTAGCCAAGTGACTCACTCCTGAATTACAGCCACCTGGCACACGTTTCAGGTTCCTGCTTCAAAAAAAAAAAAATGACCAATTATTATAAGTCATAAACCTTTCGGGTCATTCTCAAGTAAATAAATATTAACTTTCCAAATATCAAAGTCTGTCTATTTCCTTATAATACTTATTTCTGTGTGTGTGTGTGTTGTGTGTGTGTGTGTGTGTGTTTGAAGATTTGATTTGATTTGTTTTTAGAGAGAGGGGAAGGGAGGGAGAATGAAAGGGAGAGAAACATCAACATGCAAGAGAAACATCAATCAGCTGCCTCTTGTACACCCCCAACCAGGTACCTGGCTTACAACACAGGCATCTTCCCTGACCAGGAATCAAACCCGCGACCTTTCAGTTTCAGGATGACACCCAACCCACTGAGCCACACCAGTCAGGGTTGTATACATTTTTTTAACATGGATAAAATAAAATATAATTAGTATGTGTACTTTCTTCACTTTTACTTTGGCATAAGCATTTTTCTATATTATAAATACTTAGAAAATATGTCTGATGACTACATAGTATTTAACTCAATGAGTTCATTGTAATGTACTTCCCCTGATTTCCCTCATGATGGACATTTAAGCTGTTTGCAGTTTTTCAATATTCTAAAAAAAAAAAATGTCATTGTGCATAGAGTTTTTTCAATTTTTGAGATTGTTTCTTAGGGTAAAATTATAGACATGGAATTTTGGGGGCAAATTATCTACATATCTTTGTATGCAAAATTACCTTTTCTAAATGATACTCTTAATTTGTACTTAATGTACTTAATGAGACTCTTGTCTTACCCACCTTCACCAGCATTGAGTTTTTTAAAAAATCTGTGCCAATTCTTATAGGCAAAGCAAAATGCCTTAATTTGCATTTAGGTGATTACTAATAAGATCAAATACCTTTTCAATGTTCATAAACTCTAAAATTATACAATTTAACCTTGTTGAACATTTGAGTGGGTGGAAGTGTTAACCTAAGTAGTGATCATCTGCAGCCTGACATTAACATATGGAGAGGATTGAAGAGGAAATGTGCGTATGATGATGACAGGAAGTCATCAGCACTTAGAAAACCAAAGAGCAAATGATGTGAACCCATGTAAGAATCATTCTACTCCCTCTGTTTAAATGTGCTCATATCTTAAATACTTGATTTTTTTTTACCATACATATATATTGTCTGCATATAAGTTTACCTGCCACTTTCATTTCTCTGATTTATTGGACTCACATTGTGACTTTTATCTGGATTCTGTGCTACTTCTATAGAGTGTTTAGTGTCATATCCCCACCTGCACATCTTGGAGACGGGCCCACCGGTGGATGACAGCTTTTAAGACATTGCTTTCCTGAGCTGCTTCCTTTCTGTGACCTCCCTGCTATTTTCTGGTTCCTTTCGGTTTCCCTGTTTTGGAAAGCTGGGCTTTATTTTTCCAGCGCCAGGACCAAGGAGGGGGAGGACAGAAATACATCAAGGGCCCCTTGCCTTACTCTTAGGAAACTACAGCTTCTCCAATCTGATGGGAAACTTCCCCGCCTTCTAAACTTTAGGCTCCTGGATTATTTGGGGGCTGAATATTAAAGAATGGAGAAAATGGAAAAAACAAGCTGAGATTTTGCCATCTTTGTTTACTATGTGGAGACCTCTTTCCCTCCTGCTCTCTAGCCAGAACTAGAGGGCTTCTGCAGTTGTCCTCGTTGCCTTGCTAACCAGTGCCCACTCAGGATGTATTGCATTCCGTTGGAGGAGGGTAGTGCTAGAGGAAAAACAGTGATCACTTAAACTCACTGTCGGTTCCCTGGTACTTTTAATTCTCCAGCACACCTATCTCTCTTTACTTTTCAGAGTTCTCATTACTAGGCTGCATGCATTCTATCAAGCTTTTATAGTTGCATTTGGTAGGTGAAATGAGCTTTTACTCCTTTTTACCTAGAACCTATCTTGATATACAAGGTCTGTCCAGAAGGTGTCCAGCCATGTAATAGGAAAAATAGACATTTATTGAAGAACGTACAAGAAACATTGTACATTGGACAATGATGCTTCAGTCTCCTTCCAAGTAGGCACCTTGGGACCTCACACAGTTCTCCCAATTGCCATTAGCTACCCCATCGTATTTTCCTGAATCTCATCAACGGTCTGAAACCTCTTCCCTTTCAAAGGTGATTGTAGTTTTGGGAAAAGCCAGAAGTTGCACGGCGCCAAATCTGGGCTGTAGGGGGGTTGAGTCATCTGGGTGATTTGATGTTTCACAAAAAACTCTGCATGACACGTGACGCATGAGCGGGTATGTGGTCATAATGAAGCTGCCGATCGCCCAGTTGCCCATAGCTGCGGCCTTCTGTATCATCCGAGTAGTTTTCATGGAGTAATGTTCAAGCTCAATGCCAAATTTGATGCAGATTCATCGTTCTACTTGCTCAGTCATTTTGAATACAATAGCCACACAGTATACATGCTCAATAGTATCTATCACCCCCACTGACTAGTACCATGAAGTCATTGTTCACGCATGCGCATTCCAGTACACTGCTTGGCTGCCAGGTTACATAAATGTGGTGCAAACCATTCTCGATATATTAATGATGGCTGGACATTTTACGGACAGACCTCGTATTTTTTGGTCAGTTTTGTGTTTCTTTTAGTTATGTTTCATATTAGACCATCTAAAAGGTTCATATTTCGCCAGACTTCCACATTTACTCGTTTATTTATGTTGTTCTGTTTGGCTTTTTAATGTTCAAGTCTTAGCAAGCATAGCAAGTTCTATAGAAAGAAGTTGTTTGACTTGTTTTGACTCCCAGTATGAAATAAAAGGAGCTTTTGAGTCAAAAATTCAGAAACTTGCCAGAACCTTTGCGGAAATAAGTCCTTATGGTTTGTTGTGTCAGTGGTTGGTTGTGCAACATCTGTAAGAAGCATGAGAAGCTAAAAAACCAAGCCTTAAAAAGTATCAGCCAATTGTAAAGAATCAAGATGCTTTGGCTAGAAATAAATGGTAAAGTGGAAATAAATTACACAGACACCAGAAACATAACTAGGTAATACTCAATGTTCCAAAGAAGAAAGAAAAGCTAAGGGTTCTTAGAGTAAAAAGTACATTCTTAAGAAGAATCATTCTTAGCTTCTGGATTAGTCTGAGATGATAAGCCCCTAGATCAGTGATTTTCAACTGGTGTGCCACAAGAATTTTTAAAACATGCAATCAATACCTGACTTTTTAGTCAGGAACAGTGACCTCTTTTTCCTTAGACTATTAAAAAAAAAAAGACAACAGCCAACATAACAGTAGGTGTCCAGTGTGAGTGTATCAAAATCATACTTTTTTGTGTGATTGGCAAAAAGTACATTTTTTTTGGTGTGTCACAGAATTTCAGTAATTAGTTTGTGTGTGCCATGAGATGAAAAAAGTTAAAAATCACTGCTGTAGATGACCTGGAGTCACCTGGAGTGGTCTGGATAATGGATGTCAGGTGATCTGGTTACATGAACATTCTTTCCTTAGTCTTTCAGGGACTAATCAGAGGGTTACTCGAAGGTTTGATGTATATCCAGGCATTGATGCAGAACTAGAAGGTTCAAAAGTTTAAGTTCCCAGGCTTATTAAAACAAGAATAGAATTGTTATGCCTCAACCTACTTGATTTTAGTAATTTAGCAGCTTGACTAGAGTGACTCCATTTTGTTTCTTCAAAAGGTAGAAAACAGAAAAGGCAGTTAATACTTATCCCTGCCTGTATTCCTGGGCTGGGTAGTTCAGGGTTTAAAGCAAACACTTGCTCTTCTGTTCTGAATCAGGGCTCTTTTCTTTTAGAGCCTTTAGCACAGGAAAGCTGATTAGGGATTTTTGTAGGGTGAGAAAGTCCTATTTTACAATCTCATGTTCTGGAAAAGGGGGAAGTGCTGTTTAGTCTTCAGTATAAGAGGCTTTGAATTCAGGTAGTAATTCAGAAAATAATAACATAAATGACCAATCTAAATAGGAAAACTGTTTACAACCATTATTACAGGCAAAAGACTGATACATTTATAATATGCAGATTACTTACAGATCATTTAAGAAAATTATGAACATCTTAATGAGACATTTTAAAATTTCAAGCAGGAAATCTAGATGGCCAGTAGTGAGAACTGTATATATATTTCCTATTAGTTAAAAAAAATATTAAAATAACAAATGAACATTTCATCTACAGACTTGGTAAAGATTAATCTAGCCTTTTATTTGTGAAGTCACTAAACCAATATGTATCAATAATCAATGATTAGAAAAAGTTTGTAGACTTTGAGTCAGTAATTTTGCTTTCATGATTTATTCCAAAGAAAGAATTAGAAATAGAGAAAAATAATGGGGGGAAAAAGAAACACCACAAATTTATGCATAAGAAAGAATTAAGTTTGGGGTTCATTTATATGAGGAGACTATTACTGTCATTTAAAAATCATTTTCATGCCCTGACTGGTGTGGCTCAGAGGGTTGGGCATCGTCCTGCAAACCAAAATGTTGTTGGTTCAATTTCTGGTCAGGATACGCACCAGGGTTGCAGACCAGGTTCCCGGTTGGGTGTGTGCAAGAGCAGCCAATCTGTGTTTCTCTCCCTCTCTCCCTCCCTTCCTTACTCTCTAAAAATAAAATCTCTAAAAAGAAAACTTTTAAAAATCAATTTCAAAAACTACTTTGCAGCAGAATATATCTGTAACAAAAAATTAAGTTTTAAAGAGCAGAATGTAAAACTGTATTATTACTCCATTTTAATTTTGTTAAAAGGTCTTCACACATGCCTGTATATGCTAACAGAAAACATGTTTGAAGAGAAAAATATTAATATTAACTTTGGTTATCAGTGGTCAGTGGGAATTGTTTTTTCCTTTTAGTATTTTTATATTTTCTAAATGTTATATGCATATGTTACTTCTGTATTCAGAAAAATGCTGTGTTTTAAAATAAACATCTCCATGTTCCCTTGCTAGAAAGAAAAGATAAAAAGCATTTCTCAAGACAGATGAGAATTTCCAGATTTTAGTATTTATTCCAGTCCTTAATGTGGAGCTTAATATGGAATACCAGTATACGTATTCCACTCTTCAAAGCTTTTCTGTAATAAAAGCATAATATTATATATGCTTTTTAGTTTTGTAACTTGGATTATTTCTAAAGCTGAGACTTGTGAATATGGTGGGGCAGGATGCAAGTGGGCAGGTTCCTTTCTGCTCCCGCTTTATTGTTTTTTTGCAGAGGAATTAGAGTAAGGGCTCCCCTTAGAATATTTTGCTAAAGTTGAAATATTTAGAGGAAAATGGACAGATGCCTTCAGGTTACATTGATATGTGGGAGAGATGGATAGAAAAGTTACAAAACAAGTATAGCAAAATGTGAATGTAGAATTTAGGTGGTATATCGGTGTTCACTGTAAAAATCTTTAAACTTTGTAGTGTTCAAAAATTTTTATAAGAAACTGTTTGTTGGAGAACACCGGAAATTAAACTTCATAAAGTTTTTTTAAAGAGAGACAGCAAAAATTTTAAAGAAGTCTTTTTTCCCCCCCAGTGGAATTCATGGTCACAGATCACCTTCAGTGATCAAAACAGAACCACAAAGGAAAATTAACAAATTCTAATCACATCTAGACTTTGGTAACTTAGAGCCTGATGATCTGAACAACTGAATCTGGGGGTTAGGGGTGGGAGATTTAGAAAAAAATGAAGACAGAACAATACTCTTGACTTGGAGAGGTTTTTTCCTCTCCTTTTTTTAAGGTTTGATTTGAAAGTTATTAGTAAAGTAACTCCTTCTGTCATTAAGTAATAAAATTCATTGAAAGTACAGCAAATAATGGGTATATGCACCTTGAAATAATTTCACTTTTGGTTGGAAATTACTTGGCAATTTATCGTGCTCGTCATTCTGTTTTTAAAAACTCCGCACTTTTACGTTGTATAGTATTTTCCTAAATATGCATGTTATGTAAAATTACCATTTAAAATGTTCATCTTGTGTAGTAGATTATAGAAATAAATTCTGATTCTATTTCTCACAATAATAAGCTATATATGAATAATAGAGACTAATATGTATATGGAACCCTGAATCCTGCATAACAGTGATGGACTTATAAGTGTTTCAAAGAATTTGTAATAGTAATACATTTGTAATATAAAATAAATGTAGAAAGCATTCCAATACTTACTGAAACCAGATTCTGAATATTCTTTTATGAAATAGTTATATAGTTTAGAAAGCCTATTTTCTCTGTACAGTTATGCATGCAAAAGGTCACCTAACCATATTTTTTATTTTATGAAATTATATTTATCATTTATTCAATGTATGTATTTATTTTATTCAATTTATTTATTTCAGGAATATTACAAAATTCCTCTCCTGAAAATATTGCTACTTCAAAGTGTAAATGTCAGCATTTGACTCTGTTGATAATTTGGTATTTTAGAATTCATTCTTTTCAAAATTTCTCCTATTTCTAAAAGAACAAAGGCCTAGATGTATCTTGCTGAAATTTCTGTTTACTGTTATGAGTTGTTCTGCACCAAGGAGTTCTATATAAGAATACCCGGAAGCCAAAGTCATTTGTGTTCAGCCATTTGAAAAGAATAACATATACAGAAATAATATACTATTTTTAAAGTAAGGAATTTGTAAATTTTTAGGGTTATGGGATTGTTAATTATATTGAAATTCTTTCTTTTCTAGGTCATCCATGCCTGGCTTATTATTTCATCTCTATTATTGCTGTTCTTTTTCTCATTCATTTATTTGGGGTAAGTGGTGAAATATTTGGTCTCTTTTTTAGAAATTAACTGTTTAGGGTCTCTATTAGTCACTTTAAGCCATGTCCTTTATTGATGAATTACTCTTAAATTATAATTGTTTACATATATGGGTCATGCTTGGTATATATAAGACAAGTTAGTATTACCAGTAAGGATATTAACAGTGCTGGATAAAAATCGGGAGGGATACCTCTGGAGCGAGGGATTCCCAACTGGAAACCAGACTACCCAGCAGCCCAGGGTTCCAGTGCCAGGAAGATAAGTCCCCATGACTTCTGCCTGTAAAAACCAGTGGGGGTCGGGGTGTTAAAAAAAACTGCTGAATTCTCAGAGGCTTCTCTTAAAGGGTCCCTGTGGATTTAGGACTTATGCAGACCCACCCCCTGTGGGATTCAGCATCAGGGCAACTGTTGGAAGGTCACAAGTGGCATACGGGGAGAAAGTGAAGTGGCTGGAAACAAAGCAAGTGCCAGGAAACAGCTTCCTCCCAGGCAAACCTCCAAGACACCAGGCAGTGGCATTGTCCCCTCTCTAAGCCCTCACTACATTCAGAGCCACAGAACTGTGAAATGGGTTGCTCCACCCTGGCAATCACCTAAGACTCCGCTCCACATAATTTACATGTCCTCTCTTCTACAATAGACCACACTACTAAGACAGGGAGTGGAAACAGCTCTACCTAATACATAGAAACAAACACAGGGAGACTGCCAAATTGAGGAGATAAAGAAATATGTCCCAAATCAACAGAACAAAACTCCAGAAAAAGAATTAAACAAAACACTTACCAAGTTGGAGGCACAGGTAAATACCCTTTGCTTCCTCACATAACCAAAAGAAGGACAACAACAAATTTGAAAACAAAAAATAACCAGAACTGCCAGAAAATCAAACAATATGAAGTCTGACAACCAAGGAGCTAAAGAAGAAACATTACCCAGACCGGTAGGAGGAGCGGAGACGGGCAGCAAGGGTGGAGAAGATGCACGGCAAGAGAGCAGGTGGAGGACCAGGTGGGTGAGACAGTGGCTGGCGGACTGGGCGGTCGCACATTTGCGTGTGGATAAACTAGAGGAACAGCTGGGGAGCGAGACAGACCACACGCAATCCAGGGTTCCAGTGAGGGAAAAGAAAGCGTCAAAACCTTTGGAGGTAAAAACCTGTGGGGGTTGCAGCGGCATGAGAAACTCTCAGCCTCACAGAGAGTCCATTGGAGAGACCTACAGGATCCTAGTATGTACACAAACTCACCCACCAGGAATCAGCACCAGAAAGGCCCAATTTGCTTGTGGGTAGAGGGGGAAGTGACTGAAAGCTGGCTGAGAGCCAACCAAGTGGCATTGTTCCCTCTTGGACCCCTCCCCGACATGCAGCATCACAACAGGAACCTGAGTTACCCCGCCCTGGCAAATACCTAAGGCTCAACCCCACCCCCCGCCAGCGTAACAGGTGTGCCTAGACAAAGAAATATGGCCCAAATGAAAGAACAGATCAAAGCTCCAAAAATAGAACTAAGCGTTGAACAGATGCACAGTTCAAAACACTGGTAATCTGGATGTTCACTGAAGTGGTTGAGTATGGTCGCAAGATGGAGGAAAAAGTAAAGGCTACGAAAAGTGAAACAAAGAAAAATTTACAGGGAACCAACAGTAAAGAAATGGAAACCGGGACTCAAATCAACGATTGGGAGCAGAAGGAACAGATAAACATTCAATCAGAACAGAATGAAGAAACAAGAATTCAAAAAAACGAAGAGAGGCCTAAGAACCTCTGGGACAACTTTAAACATTCCAATATCCAAATCTTAGTGGTGCCAGAAGGAGAAGAGGAAGAGCAAGAAATTGAAAACTTATTTGAAAAAATAATGGAGAACTTCCCCAGTCTGGCCAAGGAAATGGACTTTCAGGAGATCCAGGAAGCTCAGAGAGTCCCAGAGAAGCTGGACCCAAGGAAGCACACACCAAGGCACATCATAATTACATTACCCAAGATTAAAGATAAGGAGAGAATGTTAAAAGCAGCAAGAGAAAAGGAGACAGTTCCCTACAAAGGAGTTTCCATAAGACTATCAGCTGATTTCTCAAAAGATACCTTGCAGGCAAGAAGGGGCTGGAAAGAAGTTTTCAAAGTCATGAAAGGCAAGGACCTACATCCAAGATTACTCTATCCAGCAAAGCTATCATTTAGAATGGAAGGGCTTCCAATGGAAGATAAAGTGCTTCCCAGATAAGGTAAAGTTAGAGGAGTTCATCATCATCACCAAGCCCTTATTACATGAAGTGTTAAAGGGACTTAACTAAGAAGAAGATGAAGATCAGAAACAATGAACAATAAAATGACAACAAACTCACAACTATCAGCAACTGAACCTAATAAATAAATAAACCAAGCAAACAACAAGAACAGGAACAGAATCATAGAAATGTAGATCAGAAGGGAGGGGGAGGAGGAAGAATGGGAGAAAGGGTACAGGGAATAAGAAGCATAAATAGTAGGTACAAAATAGGCAGGAGGAGTTTAAGAATAGTATAGGAAATGGAGAAGCCAAAGAACTTAATATGTACGACCCATCGAATGAACTTGGGGCGGGTACTGGGGGGAGGGGTGGTACAGGGGGAAGGGGAATAAAGGGGAGGGAAAAAATGGGACAACTGTAATAGCATAATCAATAAAATATATTTTTTTAAAAAAAGAAAACATAACCAATCTATCAGACACGGATTTCAAAACACTGGTCATCCAATCTATCAGATGCAGAATTCAAAACACTGGTTTATCAGGATGCTCAAAGAACTCATTTCGTATGGCAACAGCATAAAAAAGACCCCAGGCAGAAACAAAGGGTACATTAAGTGAAATAAAGAAAAATCTACAGGGAATCAACAATGGAGGGGATGAAGCTGAGAATCAAATCAGTGGTTTGAAACATAAGGAAGACAAAAGCATTCACTCAGAACAGCAAGAAGAAAAAAGAATTTTAAAAAACAGGGATAGACAAAGAAACCTCTGGGATATCGTCAAATATATCAACATCCGAATCAGGAATGCCAGAAAGAGAAGAGGAAGGGCAAGAAATTGAAAACTTATTTGAAAAAATAATGAAAGAAAACTTCCCTAATTTGGTGAAGGAAATAGACATTCAAGTCCAGGAAGTACAGAGAGTCCCAGGCAAGGTGAACCCAAACAGGACCACACTAAGACACATCATAATTAAAATACCAAAGGTTAAATAGAGAGAGAATATTAAAAGCAGCAAGAGAAAAGCAGATAATTACGTACAACGGAGAATCCATAAGACTATGAGTTGATTTCTCAAAAGAAACTTTGCAGACTGGAAGGGACTGACAAGAAGTATTCAAAGTGATGAAAAGCAAAGACTGTGATTACTCTACCCAGCAATGCCGTCATTTAGAATGGAAGGGCAGATGAAGTGCTTCCCAGATAATGTAAAGTTAAAGGAGTTCATCATCACCAAGTCCTTATTACATGAAATGTTAAAAGGACTTATTTAAGAAAAAGAAGATGATCAAAACTATGAACAGTAAAAGGGCAACAAATTCACAGCTATGAACAACTGAATCTAAAAAACAAACTAAGCAAACAGAACAGGAACAGAATCATAGACCTATGGAGGTCATTTGGAGGGATCTCAGCTGGGAGGGGGAAGTAGGAGAATGTGGAAAGGGGCAGGGATTAAGAAGCATAATTGGTAGGTACAAAATAGACAAAGGGGATCATAAGAACAGTAAAGAAAATGGAGAAGCCAAAGAATTTGTATTCATGACCCATTGACATGAACTAAGGTCGGGGGATTGTTGTAGGGGATGGGAACATCGGGTAGAGTGAGGGCAAAGGGAGAAAAATTGGGACAACTCTAATAGCATAATGAATAAAATATATTTTTTAAACATTAAAAAAAGAAACATTGATTGTGAAAGAGAAACATCAGTTGTTTACCTTTTGTATGCACCCTACAATTCCCGCTACCTAGGCATGTGCCCTGAACCGCGACCTATTCATGGCCCAATTTTGGATATTTTAAATAGGGGTTTCCCAAAGCATAGAATGGTATATTAGGTGGTATGTGGCCTTCTTTAGGTTTTGTATTTTTTACAACTGTAGTCTTAAGGTACTGGTTTCCCATTGATATGAGTAATAGAGTTTTCTGTTGAAATAACTTGAGGAAAAAAGTGGATTAATTTAAAGAACAATGTTAAATAACAGCACAGTTGATATAAGATGTAAAAATACAAAGGTGGCATATGAATATCGAATGCTTGGAATCATTGTTCTAAACAGTGTTTTGATAATTATTTTACATAAATCATATTATGTCTCTGTTCAATTTCTTTTAGGGAAGTGTTTAAAACCTATAATGTTGCCATGGACTACATTACTGTTGCACTCCTGATCTGGAATTTTGGTGTGGTGGGAATGATTGCCATTCATTGGAAAGGTCCACTGCGACTCCAGCAGGCCTATCTCATTATGATAAGTGCCCTCATGGCCTTGGTATTTATCAAGTACCTTCCAGAATGGACTGCGTGGCTCATCTTGGCGGTGATTTCAGTATATGGTAAAACCCAAGATTGATACTTTGTTTATCACAGAAATACCTCACTGGTGTGTTTTCCTTCCCAGTTATCTTGACTTAGGAAAATGATACTGGTTATATCCCACAGCTCTTTAGTAAATAATTAATTAGCTGTGGTATCTTTTTCATATACAGATTTCAATTTTTTTGAGGTTAAGTTCTTAAAAAATGTTTTATTACCACCTCCAGTTTAACTCAGTGATAAACTAGTGGAAGGATCCAGAGATTTCTGGTCAGAAGACTTTGATTCAAATTCTTTCTCTACCTCTATCAGTCTTTATGACCTTAGGAAAGTGATTCAGGCTATTTGAGCTTCAGTTTCCTCATTTGGAAAATAGGAACAATGTTTCCCTGAGTTGTATAATGAGAGTTCAGAATATGTGTTGAAAAGTACTAACAGAGTGCTTAACACATAAAATGCTCATTTAATTTTTTAAATCAAAATTAGGTTAAGTGTTTTTATAAGTCAACTTGAGTAGAATTAGTCTTTTCAAAGTAAAACTTATTTGGGTAGTGTGAGATTGAAATTCATTAACAACCAGTGTTACATGGGTTCTGAACAGTCAGAGTATACCCTAGCCATGCATGACCAACACAGCTGTACAGATGTGTATTCTGGCTGCATGAAAGCCAGAGCGATCCATATTTAGAGTCACTATGGGATCCCTATATTATAACTAGGTAGTACTCTTTTATTACTATACAGTTGCTTATTAAAATGTCAGGAGACCTGTAATAGGAAACATCATCATCACCACTTGATTGACAAAGAAAAAGTCTATGGAATTAGAATTGGATTAGTTCTGTTCTCATATAAAACTAAGGTCATATATTCTTTATGCCTGACTTTTATTATGATTTCAGGTTATATAATAGTACTTGGTAGTTTGCGAAGTACTATCAGTTATTCTATAGCCATGATTAAGAATGCCAGCACTGGACTCCAACCAGCAACTGGTCGATGCTTTGTAGTCAGAGATTTTACTAATATGTGGTAAATACTTTGTAGCCAGAGATTGTACTAATGTGTTCTTCTGCTCACTGCCTTTTCCAACAACCACAGTTTGCCTTCACCTTCAGAGGGCACATGACACCCTTACCTAGTTACGGGGCGCTGCAGCCGTCCCAGCGTCACACATAGTCCTTGCAGGCCACATCTTAACCGCGTCCAGCTTTCTCCAGAAGCGCAGAAATAACACCACACTGATGATCTCGCCCTCTTGTTGATCGCAGAGATTCATTTGACATCCTTTTTGAGGACATAGGAATATTCAGGAAGGAGCTCAAAAAAGAGGCGTCCTGCTACACCGGTTAAATTCCTGACAATTATTTTGTAAACTGAGGGCTTCTGCATCTCTGACACTGTCAAGAAATAGTAGTTGATCCTCTCTGCACCCACAATGTTAAAACAAGCCCCAATATCTTTTAGGCATTTTGGGGGATCTGTAACCAACATATTCTTTAAGTATAAATTTTACCTAACCTCTTTATACTGTTACTCACACAGTGGCCCATCTTGAATTGGGGCCTCCTACAACAAAGAGCTCCAGAATCTCTCCAAATTGTAATACCACGGTCATTCCCATTAGTGTTGCCTCTCTCTGCCCCCAGGGAATCATTCAATATAGAGGCTTTAGCAGCCTCCTGCCATACCTCCTGAAACCCCTGGACCATCCATGATCAAAAGTTGCTCATGGATTTCTGGTGTGAGAAACCACCCGTCTCAGTTCCATGCCATATGCCATTAGAATGGCAGTTTCTGACTGCATACAGAGCTCTCCTAGAACCAGGTTTTCGCATACCTTCAGGATGTGTGATGCCCCATGTCCTTCTACTCCATATTCTCTGTGTCTTCAAGGCAGCATTCTACAAGTACACCCCAGCCATTGAGCCTCCTTACTAAGACTAAAATGTTACCTACAGGATAGAGCTAAGTCTGGGCCTTGAGAGTATCCCACCAACAGGAGAGGTTGGCCCCTTCTATGCAGTTTTTTATCAGTTGACAAGGTACAGGTACTAGGGAATGTCAGCCCTCTCTGGGACCCTTGGCTACCTCAGGAGCCGACCAGGATGAAGTGAGTGAACAGCAACGGAAGTTTGAGGACCTTACGGACAGTGTCAGTACTACATGTGATGGAGCATACTGAACTGCTGCTTTTCATTCCTTAATCCACACATCCTTAATCAAAGAATCAAGGGTCAGCAAAATTAGGTGAACTTGAGGCGGTCATCTTATCCTGGCCAACAACTGGCTGCACCTGTGCATTTTTACAGGTTCTTGGGTCATCGCCAAGGGTCCAGCCCTCTGGTTCTGCCAGTGGTGGCAACAGCACTTATTTATCTGTGGTTTTCCTCTTTGGGGGATATAACTATGAAAATCTCTTGCTTCACAAATACCCAGACTATAAACCAAGGTTACGCATGTCTGTATATATTAAAGCCACAATGCAGGTCTCGCCTTATCCACTTTGGAGTTCCAGACATTGTTAATAGTGACATTAACTAACATTTCACTTCTAAAAATATGCAATGATGGGCTCCTAACAAGGTGCTCTGTGGAACTTTCACTTTCCTTACCAATCTCAGACCACAGGCCTCATAGAGTGCCAATGTGACATACAGAGCAAGTTAAAGTTTAATTAAACATCCCATATTTCCATAATCTGGTGAATTGTAATGAGTAATGATGAGTCTGATTCCATTTTTAAAAACAGAGTATTATTCTATTTATTTTTAGAGAGGGGGAAGGAAGGGAGGGAGAAAGAGAGGGAGAGAAACATATTTGCACACCCCCAACTGGGGAACTGGCCTACAACCCAGGCATGTGCCCTGACTGGGAATCCGAACCAGCAGCCTTTCAGTTAGCAGGCCAGCGGACAGTTCACTGAGCCACACCAGCCAGGGCCCATTTTTAATATTTAAAAAAAAAGAAGAATGCTAGTTCTGAAGACAGACTTCCTGGGTTCAAATCCAGACTCTTCTACTCTGTCACTTACTAGTTATGTGTCCACAGACACATTACTTAACCCCTCTATAGTTATTAGAAAGATTAAATTGAACAATACATATAATACACATAGGACAGTATCTGTTAATAAATATTAGCTGTTCCATTTTTTCTGTATAATCCTGTGAAATAAGCATGGCAGTTATCCTAGTTTTACTGCTAAGAAACATGAAGTTTATAGAGATAAAGTATTTGCCCAAGCATACACTAATGTAGAATGAGAATCCCAAGTTCAGTATTCTTTTTACTACATTACACTATTTCTCCATCAACCCTCTATTTCTTCCAAACATTATATAAATAATTACCTCTGGAGAGCTTTGAGTTCCTTTATAATGTGAGACTTGTATCTAATATTTAGAGCAGCAATTTCCAACCTTTTTCTTCTCATGACACACATAAACTAATTACTAAAATTCTGTGGCACACCAAAAAATATATTTTTTGTCTATCCAGAAAAAGAAAACTCAAAACACAATAATTTTGATCCATTCACACAGAAGAGCTATTTTTGTGGTGGGTGTCGTCATTTTTTTATTTGAGAATCGAAAGGAAAAGAGGTCAGTACCCCTGACCAAATAGGTATTGCATGTTTTAGAAATTCCTGTGGCACAACAGTACGCTCCTCTCAGCATACTGGTTGAAAAACACCGATTTAGAGGAATGGTTCTCAACGTCATTTTTCACAAGGTCCCAATCTACTTTAATTTGTCACAAAGATTTTTAATTCACTTTAATTGCTCTAAAAATAAGGGAGTTTATTATTTAGCAATTCTATAAGGGGGAGTGTGTCATAAAACCAAGATAGGTATGGGACATGGCAGCTTCAGACAGGTTGAAAATCTCATTATTTTGGAGCACAGCAAATTTCCCTTTTTTTATCCAAAACAAATTGCAGTGGAAACAGTGAGAGCAGCAATTTCTGTGTGTGTGTGTGTGTGTGTGTGTGTGTGTGTGTGTGTGTGTGTGTGTTTTGTTATAGTAGTAGTAGTAGTAGTAGTAGTAGTAGTAGTAGTAGTATACAGATATGACCACTTGCAGGCCTGAAGTTTTTTTACTTAAATGCATCTGAATGATTATAATGTCAACACAAGCTGTCAGATCTCCCTTTACAAACATATCTATACATGTTTTATATTTTTAAATGTTTGAAATTATTTTCTATATTCTGAATTTTCATGACAAAATGTAAGAAAAATTGCTTGTGCTAGAGATGGTGGTAGAATCAAGAATAATTTAGGCCTATTGCTTCTTCTCTGAGTTGCTGTTTTTGTGAAAATATGTATATTCTAAGGCCTAAGTATTTATGAAATGCCTTTGACAGGAGAACTAAAGAAATGTTCAACGCCCTCAGGGAAAGGTTTATTCGTTACTTTGTTTTGCTTAAATTTACTTCCCTTTTAAGTTCCCCTAAGTAGTATTGTACGTATACTATCTTTTAAAAGGAGAAGAGACGAATCTCTTCTATGCTCTTCATATTTTGAAAAGTTTAATCAAATAACCTCTATTAAATTCCTCTTGGAGTAAAGCTTCTATTTGTGGTTCATAGGTATGGTTTGTTTGGAAGTGGCTTGTCCCTGTTTCTACTTATTGGAAATTGACAACTGCTTTAGAATAGCTCTGTCTTATCATTCCTGTCTCTTTTCTTCAAACTGGGAAGACTTGTTCGTAGAATCCAGTGATGATACGTTGTAAACTAACCAAACAGCAGTCAAAACTAAAATGAAATATGCACAGATCTTCTGTATGGTTTTGCATGTTTTGTTTAGGTTGCCCCTCCATCAGTTTACCTGCTGCTATTTCATATTCATTCAACATCTGTTTGTGTTAAAAAAAAAAAAAATTAAGTCTTTTCCATTGGTCAGTTTCTCTCTAATACATGCATTTACAAGTTTAGCCAATACATTTTTTCAAATGTCCTTTCTATTTTTCTTTCTAGACTTAGTGGCTGTTTTATGTCCAAAAGGCCCACTTCGTATGCTGGTTGAAACAGCTCAGGAGAGAAATGAAACTCTCTTTCCGGCACTCATTTACTCCTGTAAGTATTTTAGGATGGTGTTAGATTAGTAAACAGCTTAGAATTTATAGGAACTGACACAACTAACTGTTGTCATTTTCATGGTACTTTGTCTCATCTTAAATGCATAGCATTTTAAAGGAACTCCTGCAGATCTCTGTGTCCTTGAAAATTATTATCTTCTACCTGACATTGGTTCAGAAGTTTTCAATATGTATACAGATAGAAGAAATATTTAGAGGTTGGGGAGCCAGTATTCTCACTTAAAATCTTACTAGGCAAGTGTTATTGAGTACTTGTTATATACATATATTACAGGTGACTCTTGCTCTTGCCTACGAAAAAATTGTACTGTTCCTTCAGAATGTGTTTGCCTTTTTTTTTTCCCCCCCAAAGAGTCATACTCTTCCCAGTCATTCAGTAGATATTTATCAGTCATTGACCTGATCTCCCACAGAGCACTGTGAAGGACATAAAGATGAGTAAGATACTTTGCCTTCCCTCAGCTCATTTGCTTACAATTTAGAGGTGAGATAAGGCAAGCATATAAATGAGCAACATCCACCACAGTGTGTTATCAGATTCAGCAGAGACACAATCAAAGCGTAAAGAAAGTTCAGAAGAGGGAAAATCTGGGAGGGGAATCAGAAAAGATTTCTTGGAAGAGAGCATTTTGATTAAATCTTTTAAGGATGGGTAGGATTTCAGCAAGCGCAGATGGAAGTTGACTCCCAATGTGGACTTGTCACAAAGAATGGCTTGGGGTGTAAGTGTGGGATCTCTTTATCAAATTTAAAGTGTTCAATTTGACTAGAACATAAAGTACAAAATGGGCAGAATACTAGGAAGAATTTGGAAAGACGGATTAGGGCAAGCTTAGAGTGACTGGTTTAGATCTCTCTCTGCTTTTCTTGATCACTGGAAAATCATAAAAGGTTTTTGAGCAGAAGAAAATGTGACAGAGATCAGATGTGACCCACACGACTGAAATGTTTACTATTAGGCCCTTTATAGACAGAGTCTTTTGACCCTTGGTTTCTGTATTAATATTAAATGTTCAAACAAAAGAGTTTGTAGCAATATTTTTTAATACTTGCATAAAACAAATAAACACCTGCTGCCTCTGTTGCCAAGAAGGCTACAGAAATATGTAAGCCTTGTACATGATCGTTGCCCTTCTTTTCTCTGGTTTAGGTTTGGCTTTAGTTGAACAGGGTACTGCTGCCTGGCTGACAGATGTTGGCTTCGATCAGTTAACTGTGTTATTGTATAATGTAACTTGTTTGACCTCAAATAACAAAACCATGAATAAGTTTGCCTATGATAGAATTTTCATCCTCTTTGGTTGTGTATTTCTTTTATATGTTACAGGAGTACCAGGAACATGGCTATAATTATAAAATCCGTGATAAAAAGCCAGAGAGGCATAGATACCAAGTATTTTGTTTAAAATTGCTTACTAGGGCCAGGTTGGGCATTTTGTTCCTGCTGTAGCCCTGTATGGTACATGTTTATATTTATTTTTACATTATTGTTGGTGTATTTTCAGGATAAATTCCCAAAAGTGGTAGTCCTGTGTTGAAGGATTAGTATATATGTAGTTTTGTTAAATGTTCCTAAATTCCCCTCGAATAGCATCTATACCATTTTTCATTCCACTGCAATATATGAGAAGCACCATTTTGAAGTATTCGTATTGCCTCTTAACTAAAATGTAACAGTTGTGTCGGTGTGTATCTAGATTTATATATCTGTATTATTTGTGGAAGGGACATAGAAGAGGCCAGTGGACTCTCTCCTTTGTGTTTATTGCTTTTAACCTTTTTTCTTATTCTCTCTATATAACACAGGTTAGCATTATTAAAAATCCCAGAAATGAGACATAATATGAAGGAAACTTATTTCTTGCATTTTTAGAATTATAATAAACATCTGATAATCTTTTGAGCCCTGGTTTGTCCTCTAATTTAGTTCCAAGAAGTGATTTTTATAATTACATTTACCCTATTTTAGGATATTCAACTAATCCAGCTATTGTCTCAGTGGAATCTTGGTGTCCTGAACAGATTTTCTTTTGGTTGCTTTATAGGGACTGTAAATGTGAGCAGTTTTACAACAGCAGCTACGGTTTTAGAGCTAAAGTAACATTTAGTGTCAGAATTTTTTTTATATGCCCAAATCAAAGAGAACCTTTTGTGGTGTTTAATATGTATTTACTTCTGATTGTTAAAGATCCTTAAGGGGACACTAAGAAGATTGGTGATTTGTGTAGAGAGTTAATGGCCTACTTTCTATTCGTATACTTTCCTTCTGTGCTTCCACTGCTGACCTGGACTTTTGTCTTTCTCAACAGCAACAATGGTGTGGTTGGTGAATATGGCAAAAGGAGACCCAGAAGCCCAAAGGAAGGTATCCAAAAACTCCAATTATAACGCACAAAGTAGGTGACTTTCATTTAATTTACTGGTTTTTAGGGTCATTGTCATCTTATAGGCTAACAATGAGTTATAACGGGATGATTTTAACCTCTTTCTTTGGACATAGATTCCTTTGAAAATCTCCTGAAAGCTGTTGTAATACCCAGTAAGTATAAATAAATATTAAGGAGTTCAGATGCTCCAAACTCAACAGTACAGCCAAGGCACCCCAGGTTAAGAATTTTCTGCCATTGAATCCCACTAATACCAGTATGGAAAAACTCAAGTTGAGGCTGATTTTAGAAAGAAAAAGTAAACTCTCTCTCCAAACATGTTAAAAATCAGAACCTCTTGTCTGACATGGCCAGAATAACTTAAAAAATAATTTTACTTTTATATGTGATGATGTTTATATTGAGAAGATGAAATATGCCAGGTGGACATGACTTTCCGGGAAAGGAGGACAGTGAGGACCTGGGATGGGAGACTGAAAGGCCCACGCGTGGAGACTACAGAGATGTTAAGGAGAACATAAATTAGGAGTTGCTATTAGAAAGAGTTGACTAACAAATGTATCCATAGTCAAGAAAAGGAAACTTTTTTTTTTTTTAAAAGAAAAGCAAAGAGCTAACGTTATGAGGAAGCTGAAAAACAGAGGCAGAGTAAAGGTTGGTGAGAGAAGCAAAAGGGCTTTACCTGAGTTTCTGTTCATCAGGAAAGGAAGTGATTAGGTTTTATAGAGTCAGGTAAATTGCTGTTTTAGCTTTTGGGTAACTGAGAAAATTCCTGTTAGAGACCCAGGGGTATCAGGCTCATTCTGCAGTGAGCAAGGCAACAGAACAAGATGACATTGTACCAATAGTAGATCTAGTAGAGAAGTGAAAAATATATTGTAAATAATTGCGACAAGTCTGGTTATTGTTTTAACCTGTGTTAAGCTAAGTAAAATTAAAAGGTCAGTTTATTAATATATATGTTTATATGTATGTGAGTATAAGTGTGCATTTGACTCATCAGGTTTATTCTTTTGACAAATGTTGATTGAGCACCTAATTGTGTGCCTGATATTTTGCTAAGCACTGGGGATGTAGCACTGGAGAAGATATCCCGTCCCTGTGGAGCTTATAGCCTATTTGGGGAGACACACACATTCAACAAATAATTGATAGAGCTGCGATGAGTCCTATAAAGGAGAAGTATAAGCTGCTATAAAAGTTTATAGTACAGGCATTTCATTTATTCTGGGAAGTTGAGGATGGCTTCCCTGAGGAAGTGGTAATAGATGGCCTGCTGAGGAAGGGAAGAGCTTTCCAGAAGAGGAAACAGCATGGGCAAGGGCCTCGAAGAGAGGAGGAACTGGATAAGCTGCAGAGTTCTTCAGTGGGCCCACTGTTGGCACTTAGGGTGGGGCAGTGCGTCACTGTGTGGCACTTGTCACACTGCAGGACATTTACTGTTTCTGGCCCCTAGCCCACTAAATAGATGCTAATAGTGGGTTCAAGGTATTAGAGTAACCAAAAGCTCCTCCATCATGGTTATTTCCAAACACCCCCTGGAGGGGAGGTCCTACCCTCTAGTTGACAACCGCTGTTAGAGCAACTAGATATTAGATTGGAATGAAAGGGCCTAGGACTCCGAGAGGGATGTCTGGATAAGGAAAAAAACAATTCAACTGGGAAGTTATCTGAGTATCAACTCTGTTAAGAGTTTGGGGGTGAATTAGTCATAATACGAAGAAAATTAGTTATGGGGGAAGATGAGACAGTTTTCCGGGGCAGGGGCAGGACTGGGAAACTTGTACGAAATAAACATATGTAATTAGAATATATTCTTGTTTCTAGTAAAGTAGTTCAGTTGTTAATACTATTTGTATTATGATAATATAAAAGCTCAACTTTAACATAAAATTATAACATATTGAGAATGTATGGAGAATTAAATTTACATGTGTGCACAAGTAGGAGAGCTATGCTTTATTTCCCTGTAGGAAGTGACTGAGTTTTAACCTAAAATTAAAAACATCAGACGTAGCACTGTGAATATGCTACTTATAATTAATGATGGAGGTTAATACCAAAAGAAACAGCTGAAGGGGTTGAAAGTATGAGTGAGGAGGGAAGGGACAGAGCAGGGACTGCTGTTTTTATTTATAAACCTTATGCTTATGTGATTTCATAAACTCCAAACCAGCAAAGATCCCAGTTTTGTGGAGACTTGTTAAGAAAAAGAATACAAATTACAAATACAAAATTGCAAGGGCCCCTCCCAGAAAAAAATATCCATGCAGAGAGGCCTGAAGTGTGCAAGCTTTATTCATGGTAAATCTACCTCTGCTATGAACATGTGTCACTTTTACTTTAAAAAAAAAAAAAAAAGGAAAAACATGCCCTGGCTGGTGTGACTTGGTGGATTGAGTGCTGGCCTGCGAACCAAAGGGTCACCGGTTCGATTCCCAATCAGGGCACATGCCTGGGTTGTGGGCCAGGTCCCCTGTAGGGGGTGCATGAGAGAAATCCATGCACTGATGTTCCTCTCCCTCTTTCTCCTTCCTTTCCTCCCCTCTAAAAATAAATCTTTAAAAACATAAAAATAAAATCTGTTTTAAAAAATGGAAGAAGAGAATTATCAGCTTCACTTAACCCATTTTAATTATTTTTGATGTGTGGAACATTCTGAAGACTACCATGTTATGCTCACAATTTTTAGTCAGACTGACAGTCCTAACAAAATGACTAGCCCCCCAAAAAAATGCACTCCCTCACCCTACCCGCACTTCCCTACCTCCAGGAGTGGTCTACATTTGTAACTTAATCACTAAAGCCAGTGCTGAGTGCCATTGGTTAGAAAGCTTTCAGCTGCAAACATTGGAAGACCCAACTTAGTTGCTTTAAACAAAGAAGAAAAGTTGTCTCTCACACTAACCAGAATCCTGAGGTGTAGACATCTGTATGATTGGTTGGTTGTGTGACTCCCTGGGGTTATCGAGGGCCCAGTCCATCTTCCTGCTGTGCCATCCTTACGTATAGGCACCGTCCTTCGCTCACTGCTCCTCATGGTCACAAGAAACCAGGTGCAGTTCCAGCATCCTATCCAGATAAAACAGCATCCAGGGGAAGAAAGGGGTGGTTAGTGTCTCCCTAAGTTTCTCTTAAAGAATGAGAAAAATGTCCCCTAAATTCACGACAGACTTCGCCCCATCACACATTGACTAACACCAAACCCACAGCCTCAGAGCTCTCGTTGGGAAGAGGGAGGGTGGGAGCCCCACTCTTGGCTTGGCTTGGTCAGGGTTTACTACCAGAGTCTCGTGGGTGAGAGGTGGAAACCCAAACAAATCAGGACTCTGCCTTCGGGAAAAGAGGGGGAAATGGCTATTGGAATAGCAACCAGCAGGCCCTGCTACAGCCCATGCTTTGTGGTTTAAGAGCCACCTGTCCTAGTTACAATGACAATCAAGTAGTTACTGTTTCCATGTAATTTTCTTAAGGACATAAGAATTTTTCTGAATATTACAGTTGTGATTTCTACTTTTTCTTGAAGGCACAGAGAATGAACCACAAGGCCCTGTGGCAGAGAGTGATGATGGTGGCTTCAATGAAGAGTGGGAAGCCCAGAGGGACAGCCGCCTGGGACCTCATCGCTCCACAGCTGAGTCACGAGCCGCTGTGCAGGAGCTTTCCAGCAGCATTGTAGCCAGTGAGGACCCAGAGGAAAGTATGTGCATTTCTTTAGTTGAAAAATCATGGGTTCCTTTAGGTGCTGCAGCATCATTCTCTCCCAAAATAAAATGAATCAAGAGCCTGACAGTCTAATTCTAAAGGACAGTACAGCTTTTAGGGGGAAGTGCCAATGGTTGGTGCATTTCCCATAGCACCATTTACTAATGGTTCAGGTTTTCCCTCAGGTTTTTGAAATTGGCCCTTTGGCATTTATTTTATAAGGTCAAAGATTTCTTTGAAATTGTTTTTACAATAAGACTTCATTGCTGCAATATACTTGTGTACAAATATTTTATTCATATTTTTCACTCTCTGCTATAAGAGACCTGTGGATTTTAATATTTCAGCCTTCTACATTATTATTATTCCCTTTGTTGACAAGCCCCTTCTAACTTCAGATTAATATTTTCTTTATCTGGGACCAATATAAACTAATAATCGACATTCTTTCATCATCTCAGCATCTACCACCACACAGCCATCTCTGATTATATTAGTGTTTTCAATCAAACTTAATAGTTACTTACAATATAAAAGTCTCTGTTTACACTAGAAACTGATTTCTAAAAGGGACATGTCTTCTTGAACAACCTTTTAAGTCAACATTTAATCAGAGTTTTAAACTAAACAGTTTTTAATTAGAAATGTAAAACATTTTTATTAAGTGTGAAGGCAATTGGTCTTACAGTGAATTTCAAAGTATAATAACTTCCCTCAAACCTCATGTGGGTAACAGGCTCTCCTGAATGTACTACTGATAGTCTTAAAATGTATCAGAGTAGCGAATTTAGCCTGTTGTTTCCAGGAGGGGGAATTTGACTCAGAAATTCTTTTTGTACCACCTCAAGGAAGGAGAGACATGGATTTTGCTGTTTTTTTCAAGTGGAGGAAGAGATTTTAATAGTATGAAGGTACAATAATAAGTTGCAGACCAGTTTTTAATATCTTCATATTTATTTAAAAATAATAGGAAATATTTATTATTCTATTATATTTAAGCTAGGCGCATGTTATGCTGTTGGAGGTCACTTAGAGAAGTCCTACAATTAAAATGAATAATCACCATTGTTCAATGTCTTTATCATGTCTTGAGTTTGGTAGACCAGCAAATGCCCCTTTTAATATGAAAGGAACACCACAATTACTGAAAATGATTTTTCAGAGTTGGCAAAAACAATGGAAGGCTGATATTGCCATTAGTAAATAGCAGGAAAGTACTAGCAGCCAGTCTCAGCTTTGACACGTGGCGGTAGCTTACTGTTAAGTCATTATGTCTAACGTAAGGAGTTTACATTGCTGTACTTTTAGTTGTTTGGCCAGGCATATTTTGATTGAATAAATCAAAAGGAACTGTTTAAAGATAACAAATCCCCAGTGATGTGATTTTTCTTAGGTTTTTATATACTGATTCAGTTTCTTCTGGTTATAGGTAAAAAAATCTTGATGGTTGCTATTTTGTTTTCTTTCTCTAATTTTGCTAATAAAATATACCTACATTTCTCTCTCCATTACAGTGAATTATCTGAAGTGTAGCATTTATCGTAGTATTGCTATTATTTAAACAAACATAAGCTATTAAATGAAACAAACCTGAGGCCATAATTTTAAGCTTGATTCAGTATATAGTCATACATACCTCAGTACTCAGCCTCAGGACTTGTCAAACCCTACACTCATCACATTTTGATGAGAAAAAAATGTTTCAGCACTCAGCACTTGTTCAAGGCAAGTGGCACTTGCTTGGGACCCATCGCTCTTGCTGGAGCTTGTATGAGTCACACCGGCCCCCAAGAGAACGTGCTTCATTGTTCAGTACTTGTCAGTTTTGGCACTTGTCATGAGTTCCAGAACGAATTAACGACGAGTACTAAGGTACCACTGGATTATTTTTATTATTTGAAAGCTTTGTTGAGATATAATCCACTTACTACAATAGTTCAGCCATTTAAATTTGTGGCTTTCGTATATTCACAGTTTTCTATCATCACCAAAATTAATTTGACAATGTTTTTATTACCACCAAAAGAAATCTGCACCTCTTAGGTGCCACCTCTCCAATCCCACATATAGCCCAGGTTTAAAGTCTACGTTGCATTGGTATTCAGAGTTTAATGCAGCCATCACCACAGTGAATTCCAGAGTATTTTCATCACCTCAGAAAGAAACCCTGTACCCATTCATTAGCCTCCACACCCCTCAACACCACCCAGAATACTATCTTAATCTATTTGCCTATTCTGAACATTTAGTAAAACTGAAATCATACAATGTGACCCTTTGTACTGGTTTCTTTCGCTTACATAGTGTTTTCAAGCTTCATCTATGTTATAGCATGTATCAGCACTTCATTCCTCATTTCTTTTTAGAGCCAAATGAAATTCCATTGTATAGCTATGCCACAATTATTATCCATTTATCAGTGAATAGACATCCAGATTGTTTCCATTTTGGGCTTTTATGCATACTTTTGCTATGAACATTTATGGAAACATCCTCATCTCATGTATGTTTTTCTCTTTGGTATTCACCTAGCAATGGAATTGCTGGGTCGTATGGTAACTCTATGTTTAACCTTGTGAGGAATTTGACAGTTTCTTAAAACACTAAATATAAACTCACCATATAACCTAGCAGTTTCACTTCTAGGGATCTACTCAGTGGAAATGAAAACAATCTGTCCACACAAAAATATATATGTACAGTAATGTTCATGGCAGCATTATTCACAATAGCTCTAAACCGAAAACAATCCAAATGTCCATCAACTGGTAAATCAATAAAGGTATAGTATATTCATACAATAGAAAATTATTCACAATAATAAAGAACAAACTACAGACATTCAGTATCACGGATAAACTTCAAAAACATTAAGTGAAAGAAGCTGGCCACAAAACACTTCATTATGTATGTGTCCATTTCTATGCAATGTCTAGAAAAGGCAGATTTATAGAGATAGCAGATCGGTGGTTACTTAAGGTCTCGGGTGGAAGTGGGGATTAACTAAAATGGGCATAGGGTATTTTATTAGGGTGATGGAAATGTGGGGGATTGTGAAAATGGTTTTGCAATTCTAAATTTCTTATAATCATTGAATTCTACACTTACACAAATGAAATATATTGTACCTCAATAAAGCTGTTTTATGAAAAGGGGATGATACTTACAGGGGTTCTTGTGAGGATGTATTAGAATAAGTGCCAGGTATAAACTAGGCATTCAATAAATGACAGTGATTATTTCTTGTTATTTTTAGTATGGAACAGCAACATCTTTGGTTAAGACTTCAGAGTCAGCCCTGACTGATGTGGCTCAGTAGCTGGGCATCACCCCACAAGCCAAAAGTTCACTGGTTCGATTCTGGGTCCAATATCCGGTCAGGGCACATGCCTGCCTTGCGCTCTAGGCCCCCAGATGGGGATGTGTGAGAGGCAACCGTTTGATGTTTTTCTCCCTCTCTTTCTCTCTCCATTCCCTTCTCTCCAAAAATAAATAAATAAAATCTTAAACACACACACACAGTGAGCCACAGAATCTGCAACTCCTACTGTGAAAAAAAAGAGAGAAAACCTAACTCAAGCCTAATTTTGTATGATATCATTTACTGACTCCTCATTCAGTGCAGGGTGGAGTGGAGCAGTGACATTTTTGAACTGTGAAATCATAGCAAAGAGAAACAAACTTTTTATATTTGTAATCTTTCCTTTTTAGGGGGAGTGAAACTTGGATTAGGAGATTTCATTTTCTACAGTGTTCTGGTCGGTAAAGCTTCCGCAACAGCCAGTGGAGACTGGAACACAACCATAGCCTGTTTTGTAGCCATATTAATTGTAAGTATACACTCATAAAAGCATGTCAGAATGCCTCATCTGAAAACTCGGATTCTGACGCCACTTTACGGCAGTCCCATTTTAACCCCAGCTGTGCTCAGTGTGCCAATCATCTGGGGAGTTTTTTTTACAAACAAATGATTAGATCTCACCTGAGTAGTTCTCCAGGTGGCCACACATTAAAATCACCTGGGACCTTTTAAAACTGTGTCTCCACCCTGAGACATTCTTACTTAATTTGTTTCAATAGTGTGTCTTCTTTTTAAAGTTTCCCAGGAAATTCTGATAAGTACTTCTGATTAGGAACCACTGCTTCAGGCAGCATAGATATATGTAGGAAATTAGCTGTGTCTGAAAAGGGTAAGTAGATCCTCACTTAGTCCCTGAGTTTGGTGGTGGTTTTGCATTTAATGCTACAACATGCAACATACAGGTTCCTCTGGGTGGCAAGTATGAGGTGAAAAAAGTTAACACAATGCATGATCTCATGTAGATCTTGCTTATAGAGCCACAACATGAACCCTAAAGCTTTCAAAAGTATAATTTAAGTAAATAACTTATATTTCTTACTGCCTTTTTTTTTTAAACTAAAGATACTCTAATGTTTCATATGCAGGTGAAGTTAGATGAGAGCCTTTATATTGCATTTATTTTGTGATTATATTTGTGATTTATAATACTATAACCACGTAGAATTTTCATGTATTTTATTTCTCTTTTGAGGTTAGTTTTCCATGTGTGTTGTATCTTTAAAGAAGGAAATTACTTATTCTGGTTAACCCTGAAATGATGCTTAGCCTCCAGAATTTATAGTTAGTGTCTCAGTAACTATAGTTTAAAAAAAAAAAAATAAGGACTATATTATGGCTGTTCTTTGTTTCCAAGAAAGGAGCAATATACTTTTCATAAATTTTTATTGGCATATCCTGTGTGTATCTGTGCCCCCCCCCAACCTCCACCCCAGCATAAAAAAATGCTCTTTACCTCTGGGATTTTAGCCAGCCAAACTAAATTCATGGTAGCCAACTCAATATTTTATATAGAAATTTTGGTATTATTTTTTTCAAAAATAGTTTTATTTATGTTTAGGTCCTATTCCTTACCTAGAATTAGGGGATGAAGAGTCAAGAATGTGTGCATACTGAACTCTGTGTTGCAAAGGAAAATAAAGTTGTTTCCAGTTTAATGGAAACATTTATCCTAATATTTAACCCCGACAGATTGTATTCAATTAAATAAAGTAAAACCAAGACTTGTGATTGAATTGTTTTGCACACAACCCTTTCATAATTATGTCTGAGTCTGTGTCTTTCCCTCCCTCCCCCACAGGGTCTGTGCCTTACATTATTACTCCTCGCCATTTTCAAGAAAGCATTGCCAGCTCTTCCCATCTCCATCACCTTTGGGCTTGTTTTCTACTTTGCCACAGATTACCTTGTGCAGCCCTTTATGGACCAATTAGCATTCCATCAATTTTATATTTAGCAGATTTATGATTAGACTCCCATGGATTTTTCTCCTTTGACTATAATAAAATCTGGGAAGGACAAAGGTGATTTTCCTGTGTCCACATCTAACAGAGTCAAGATTGCCAGCTGGATTTTTTGCAGCTTCCTTCCAAGTCTTCCTGACCACCGGCACTATTGGACATTGGAAGGAGGTGTCCACAGAAAATGGTTTTGAACAAACATCATCGTGATGGACTGAGTCCCTTGGTGCAAAAACTACCAGATTTGTGGGACAAGGACAAGGAAAAGGGATGGGCCAAGAGGTCACTGTGCTCCCTCCAGCAGGTTGACCCTTGGCCACACGTGGATTTTATCAACACTGCAGACTCTCAGGACTACCATTACCAAGAGGTTAAGTGAAGTGGTTTAAACCAAACAGGACTCATCATCTTAAACAACATGCTGAAAATCAACCTAATAAGTCTATACTGAATTCTAAACCTTTTCAGGAGGTACTGTAAGGAGAGCAGGTACCAGCAGCAAAATGGGAAGGTGGAAAGGGGTTCAGACTTTTTTGCTGCCAACTTATCATTTTTAAGACTCTTTTTTTTTTTTTCACCTGAGTCAAGTCAGATGTATAAGTTGATTTTTGACAACTTTTGTTCTCAAGCACTGAAACTCATTCCCGTCTATAGTTGCCATTTGTTCCCAAGGCCAGTATGAATTTCTTTGAGGTGGCTTAAAAGTCTTAACCTCAGGTTCCAAATTCAGTAATTTCTGGAAATAATGGAACTCTAACTCAACAATTTTCTGTCATCCTTAAGTAAATTCTGATTTATCCCCAAATTCCTAATTTTTAGACATACTTGTAGGTTTGCTTGCCCTCAATATTCTGTTCCCCATCTCTCCCTTCACTCCCCCCGTAAGTGGTTCTCTCATACACCAAGTAAGACAGCTCTGTCATGGTAGCAGATGATCTCATTTTTCTAGGATTTTACTTTGTGTGGTGTGACGACTGTGTTACGAATCAGTGCTATCAGCTTTGCTGTCAGAATTTCTTCAATGGCAAATTCAACGAGTGCCCAAAGATAGTAGCATTAAAGAAGAGTAAAATGGCTGGTGAAGCACTTTCTGTCCTGGTTTTTCTTTTTTTGTACAACCCATTGTCTCTGACAGTAGGTCAGAATTTAAACCAATGGCCAGAAGCTGGTGGTTTATAGTTATGAATCAGTTGTATCAGTACAAAGCAAGAGTGTGGAGGGCCATGATTGTGCTTGGTGAGCTGCGGGGGAACCAGGTGCCAGGAAAGAAGGGGCCTCCAACTGCCAAAGGGACAAAATGAGCTACGGTCCTTTGGGCAGATGTGAAGGAGGAGATTTAGGTTATTCCTCAAGAACATCTCAGTGAGTATTTTGTAGTTTCCCTTCTGCCTGACCTTTGATTTCAATGGAGCTTTGTGTGAATTTGGCAGTGGAGTTTGGACCCATCCAGTTCAGTTGGACAGCGCACATGAGCAGAGCCATCGCCTGTGGGCACACGCACCTCTGCGTGAAGCTTTGCCAGGGCACAGCCCGTTTACCACAGACAGCCCTCAGCCATGGTGATCAGACTGTAAGCAATTGTGAGGAAATGCTTAGTTTCCCCATGTGGCTGAAGAAAGACAGCTTTTCCTCATTCTCCTGCTGCTTTTACTCAGCCCGTCTATCATATGATCCTGTTTGGGATTGTTTCTCCTTGGAGTTCAGAATATTTGTTTTCTGTCATGGAGTATTCTTTAGGAACTAACTTTAGGAGTAGTGTGCTGGTACTCACCCGAGTATAAGTAAAAACTGGCTTGTGCTAGGCAGTCGAGTACTGCAGGAAAAATAAGCTGCACAAAGAAAGAGTGAGGCTGAGAGTAATAGGATCTCTCATCTCTTTTTAGTTTTCTTAGCCCCTTTTTTCTAAGATTCTCTTTTTCTCCTCAGATACGTGGAAGCGTGGGTATTCTAGAAAGACACATGATTCAACAGCTACAACAAAGCCACCTGAATACCAGTTTGTGATTTGAAGCCATCCTGAGGGAGCCCTGATCTAGAGTAGTTAACTGTGCGAGGGTGTCTTTCATGAAAGGCCCCTCCGAAGAGGATGTGTGGTGTGTGTGCCTGTGTTTAAATCCACCCAGTGTGTTATTGTCCTGTGTGGAAAGATGGCGATAAATATGCCACTTTCTACAAGATGGAACCACGTCTCAGCATAGAGACAACACATCTTCTTTAAATCACCAATCTCAGACACAGAACTTTTTCTTCAAATCTTCTTTTTCGAGTCAATTCAATCGTTTCTAAGTATCAAAATGCTGGTCTTCCACCATGAGAAATCAATTGTCACTAGAGAGGGAACAGTAGAAATTCCACTAAGGATGTGCCCTCACATGGCCAGGGGGTGGCTGTGGAGCCCGACAACACCAAGGATCAAGCATGACCAGCCAAACCAACCCGCTAAATAAAAAGAAGGAACACAGTAGGAGAAAGTGTCCACTGATGTGTGGGTCTGACTGATCTTCAGGATAAAGTGTGTTTATACACAGAATGGTGCTACAAACTAGCCTGTGGAAGTACCAACCATATTTGGAAGATTTGTAGTTTTTTTTAAGAGGAAGGGCTCACTTCTCTGATTTTCAGTAGGTTAGTGCGTAGTCTTAGGATCATGGCTCACTACCGATTAATTTCTTGGTCAGAAGAAGTAGAAGCTTTCTAAGCAACTCGATAACATTCATAACTGAGCAAATTACTGATTGCACTACAAAAGCAGCAACTAAACAGGTGGTGGTTTTCCTTTTAAGCTCTCAGATCCCCATTTCTAAAAGTTTCCCTTGGTTTTAAAAACCCTCCTTCCGTAACAGACGCTTGAACAAGTAATATGTTTAGTACTTGGCCTCAGAAAACCTTACATAATGTAGTCTTGTTCACAATTTGTAGAATGTGAGATACAAGTTAGGCTTCCAAATAAGGCCCTCCAGGGTCGGGCGTCTCTAGGAAGCCTCTGATTATGACCCCCTGGTGCCCAGTGTTGCATGTTTCCCCGTTTGCCATCTAGCCCTGGAAGAAAAAGTTTAGATGTCACTATGGAAAGATTTGTTCAGTCTCTTCCATGTGCTGGAGTCTAAAGATGCAAAGATGAATAAGCTCTACCCTCAGAACGCAGCTGCAGTCTCTTGTTTTCTGGTATGTGCTGTCTTCTCTAAAATACTTTGTACTTGTCCATAACACCTTTCACAGTTACTGCTATTGAGGGCTTATACAGTTGATATTATAAAGGTGATTTTATTATCCCAGAAACCCATCCTTTCAGTAAAGTACTCCTTTTTCTCTAAATTTGCCTCTGGATAGTCTATGAATAGTCTATAAAGAACAGTTGACCCATCATTCTGAATCCTCACTTCAAGGATATCCTGAACGCTGAGTTTGGGAAGAGACTTGAAAATTGGACTTTGGGTTTTGCACTGGGAAGAAACAATGTCATTATCATAAATTTGACCCAGAAGTGATCCTTGTAATCTCCCCTCTGTTTAACTTCCCAAAACACAGGAGATGAAACACAATGGTTTCAGCCCTTCACAGCCCTTTTTGAAATTGCCCAGCAGCGTGTACGAACAAGGCTGCCATCATGCTCATGTCCTGCATCACTGGGATGGCGTGATCTGAACAGCCCTCCCCGCGGGTAGGGAGTACCTCAGAGATGTGTATTAAAAATCAGCCTGGAGCTGAAATGAGCCCCTCAGAGCCAATTCCCAGGGCCTCGAGCAGCTGCAACATTGCCCTGAGGAAGTAGCTGGGTCCACCCTGGGCCCTGGAATGTGGTGTAGCACTTCAGTCTGATCTGTGTAACGGAAGATTTCCCAGAAAGCAATTCTACTTTTAAAATAAATAGTTGTTGCAACAGGGCAGCTTCAAACAGCTGTCTGGTGTAGCGAGTACAAGACTGCTGGGTGTCCTGTATGATTGGCAGGGCCGGCATGCCAATCAGCGGGATCATTTACTCTCATGTGCTTGTTGTCTGGCTTTTGCTTCTACAGACACTGCTTTGTACATGATTACATGATTCAGCAGACTGTGAATACATCTTTTTAAAATACCTTTCAAATTCTTGATAAGATAATATTTTGATAGATGACTGCAGATTTTCATGTATTTGTCAAATGAATAAAGCCCGCATGAATGCAGCTGTGCTAGTTTCCTTATGTGAAAGTGGCATAATGCGTAACCGTGTGAGTATTCGGCAATGTTCAGGAAACAGCTTAGAAACACAGAGGCATTGTTTCTCTCCTTCACTCAGTACAGGGGTATGGATCAAGCAGACCGCATTTCTGAAGTGTGCAATATTAAATCTGTTTATGAGAAGCCTCTATTTTTAATACTTAGTTTCTGAAAAATATTTTTTCTAGAAAGTGTTTAACTCAAGTTAATGTAAAAACCGTCAAAACAAGAATTTACAGGCTATATATTACAGTACAATGCAAATATTTCACATGATAAAGAATTACCTTTTTAAAAAAAGATTTTATTTTTACACAGGGGGAGGGAGGGAGAAAGAGAAACGTAACTGTGTGGTTGCCTCTCACACATCCCCTACTGGGGATCTGGCCCACAACCCAGGTGTGTGCCCTGACTGGGAATTGAACCGGCAACTTTTTGGTTCTCAGGCCAGCATTCAATCCACTGAGCCACACCAGCCAGGGCTAGAGGAGTGCCTTTTAACAAAATTATTGTGTAGGTCATGTCAATGGAAAACACCAGCATTATTTTTGTTGACCTGGTAGATCAAGATTGTCTTATCACTCTAGCCCCAAATTCCACCAAATGTTGAGAATTACTGGTCAGAAATAAGTGTGTGGTAGAAAATGACCAAAGCTGACCATTGTCTTCAGAAGGAGCATATAATAGATGAAGGTGTTCCTGGCCCCAGTGGCTAAGGGCATCAAGAAACAGGAAAGGTGTGCATTTCCTTCTTTGGGAATCAGAGCCATCCTTTGCTTTTATGACTCCTGTAGACCGTGTCGCTAGAGTCTGCCCCAGAGGCATGATGATTTGCCCTCATCGGCTGGGAGTGTTTTCCGATTTCTGGGGCCCTGAGAGTGGTGCTCTCGAGGACAGTGGTGCATGTGGGGTTGGGGGACAAGGGTAATGAGGCTGGGTTTTCTGCATCACTAGGTAAGGACCACAGTCTTCTGTAGCCCGGCCACCATTCTCTGCAGCTGAGAGAGAGAGGAAGGGAGGGAGGGAGGGAGGGAGAGAGGAAGGGGGGGAGAAGAAGGGAAGAGAGGGGAGAGAGAGAGAGAGAGACCCAGCCCACCAGCAGCTTAGGACCTGGTAAAAAGTGAAATGACAGCAGGCTTGAGTCTAAGCACAACGTTGACTCACTGCCTTGAATTTGAATGGGAATGCAGGGTACAGGGAAGATCCACAAAAGACAGGGTTTAAAATCAGAGTTTTCTCCAGAAACAAAGTTTGAACCAAATTTGGGAAGAAGGGAAGAATCTGAATTAGCAAGAAGGCAAAGAACATAACACTAAAAACAAAATCAGGAAGGAAGAAGTATATGGGAAATACCCAAGGATAATTGTTTTTTGAGTTAAGGTGGTGGTTTATTCAGAAGAAAACTCAATTAGCAAGCCAAATATATTTCCATATGTACCTAGAATATACTGCCTTCATTAAGTGACTTGCAGAAACCGTGGAAGATGGTGACCTGACCTCCCACAGGGACCTCTTATGCTTGACAAAAATAGACTCTCTTGCACGGTGGGTGGGTATGTCTGCTATGTCGTGCCCCGAAAGGGGAGCGATGGAAGAACCTCAGAAACCAGGTTTGTGGGAAACCTAATTCTTGGGAGAAGGGGTGTCATACTCTGGATTCCTCTGTCTTCCCCCCCTTCAATTTGTTTTAATTATATAGAAACCCAGGGTCAATTCTTCATGCAGTAGAGGAAAGGATTTTGTTGCTAACCCTTTTTCCCACAGCGTACCTTGAGGTGGACTGCAGGTAAAATTTTGACTGTGATTTGTTTCCTTGGGGAGCAGACTAAAGTCAAAGGTGTGTATGTACAAGGATGATGTAAAAGTGGAAACACCACTGGGAGCTAGAT